TCGTTACGACAAAAACGACCAGTAAGACAGTAAGACTGCACACTTGACTCACTCAAGCAAACCGGCGATCAAAGTGAAGGGTATCTCTTTCTCTGGCATCTCCCTGAGAGAACGAGCAACCAGCGGAGGATATTCTGGGGGACAGATCAGATTACAGTTCTCCTCCGCATCCGCTCCCGCCTCATCTTCCATCTTCCGCTTCTTTTTCTTTCGTTCGTCCATGGGCGGTGGAACGTATTTGATCATATTGACACAATCTTCGAGGAAGTAGTCTGCAAAATTGAAGGAGGGAGCGGCAAATTGAACCGTTAAGTGAAAAATGGGGGTGGCAGTCAAAGGATGGGTAGGAGAAGCAACCCAGCTAATCAAAATAGCCTCTAAGTGCCTAATCACGCAATTCTGTATACGAAATGACTGCATTACTTCAATCGCTGATAGTTGGTCCGGCAAACCGAACGAGGACCAACCCAGATCGGTGAGGCATTGTGTTAGTTGGATTAGTGCGCAAAAGAACACATGTAGTATTACCCGTATGCCCCAAATTGACCACACCGGTTCCTACACATCGTGTTCGGTGGTAAGACTAGGTTAAAACGAAGGGAGTCTGGTCCAAATAGCTCCTACTGTTTCTAATGTTATATGGGATACTTATCAACCCCCAGTTTTGGCCACCTTTCAAACGATGTCAACGTGTGCCCCCCACGGCACGGTGACTCGCACATGGGTTAGTTTATAGTGATAATACACTTGTGCAGCATCTAGCACACACACTTTTCCACACCCAGTTGGGCCCATATCAAGACGCCAAGAGGACCGGGGTGGGACACAGGGTAGGTGGCTGGCGCCTAGCTGTACCAAAACACAAAATTGGTTGCATTTTTAAGCGCCCAAATTCCCCATAACGTCTGCGGTACCCCGAACTAGCCCCCGCGTTGAACCAGCGAATCTATCGCGTGGCTCATTTTTAGAAGCAGAATGTTCAATCAGACAACAAGAGCAAGACAATGATCACTGATTTTACAGCGGCGCCCGTTGGTACAAGATCGAAGTAAGAAAAATCTAATACAACCTAACTAGATGCGTTCTATTCCCCTGTCATCTATCACTGGCAAGACGGAATCAAGACAACAAATAAATTTTGATTTCAGGCTCGGTTTGGGAATTTGTATCCCTTAGGTCTGTCGCAACAACGTCGACTATTTTAGAGTTAGAGTCGAAGACTAACACAATATCCGACACAGACTGTGCCGGTGGCCATCGGTTTTGAAGTTAACGCAATGGATACTGCACGGTTAAGAGTGGTAATATATTATAAGAAACTTTGCACTTGAGAGCTGAGGCACTGTAAGAGTTGAAATAACTCGCTTGGTTATAAAGTACGTCGCCGATTGGTTCGTCGATAGCCATATACTTAGTACTTTGTACATTCGAGTGGTTGAATTTAAAGTTGTGTGTAACCAAAAGTGCCTACCACATCGAAATAAAATCCGGACAGAATTGACAAAGACTGACAGTGTGGCCGTGATGAGGGCGAATAAAATATTCTACTACTATAATACCTCCTTTGAACACGCGTGAGCTTTCCCACTATTAGCCTCTAGGCAAATACAGAAAACAGTCAGCCTACGCTAACCTGTCTCAGTCTTAGTCCTGATGTATAGAAGCTTTGATAATTATGAAAAAGTAATAGGCACCAAAATTTACTAGAGCACTTACATGTAACTGGATGAGTTCTGCCCTCTAGCTCAACGAGGGCACAATCACCGAAATAGTCTGTGAAGGTGGTAGTGTCGATCGTCGCTGACATGAGCACAACACGTAGGTCTCTGTTCGCTTGAATCATATCTCGGATCAGAATGAGCATGAAGTCAGTGTTGACGTCCCGCTCATGGATCTCATCTATGACAATGTGCGAAATGCCGCGGAGCCCGCCTTCCATCTTTCTGCACATTGTGCCCACAGTGCAAAAGAGCACCGACCCGAAGGGCCGCGGCAGGACCGTTTCAAAACGGACCGAATAGCCAACAGAAGTGCCGATAGATTCGCAACGTTCAACAGCCATTCGCTCGGCCAGGCTGATGGCACATATGCGTCGGGGTTGCGTAACAAGAACAGCACAATTGGCACCGTTACCAGACTCGATGAATGAATCGAGAATGAATTGTGGTACCTAAAACAACGAGGAGTTACATAATTATTAATCCGGATAATGCGGTCTACTGACACGCAAAAGGTGTCACTGCATCCAAACTGGTGGACAGCCTAATGAACAGAATATTTTGGTGGGTCTGAAAGCGAGGTGGGATAACATTTGGACAATTCTTTTCTATCAGAGGGTTCTTAGCTTTAAATTTTCGGGAAATAATACAATACCTTCATAGTCATTTAACAAAGTCTAGCTACGCAACTTGCTGCCGAGTAACAAGGTTCATTGTTTTTAAACATCTCCGTATTAATTTAGTCTATTTCCAGATGTGGCGTCTTAAAACCTTCGTCTGCGTTACTGTACATAACGGCTGCAAAACGTATTAAAGACATAAACGCTAGCGTTAACTGACACGAAGAACACGTCTATCCCACAAGCACCGTCCGCGACGGCTATGGATCTCCCTCAAGCTCATTGAAGTTAAAGGCAGTCGTCCATAATTTTTGGAACTAAGGACAAATTGTTTATGGCAAACCCAGCTGAGTTATGTTTCAAAGTAAACTCGTAGAAAGGAAAACTCCTATCTACCTTGACTGATAGGTCACAAAAGTGTTGTCCTGACACCTAGGATGTTCGACAATTGCATGGCTTCCAAATAGCTAGTCGGCGAGGCAAACGGGAGAAGTGAACAATTTCCTCCGGCAGACGAGCAGTAAAGGTCAAATTACCAATCGGCGTCAGGCCTGCAGCACAAAGCGTAAGGCTGAAAACCTACTTATTGCACAAAAAAGCTTAATACGGTCATATGCGAAGTGAAGGATTCAGAACTCGACAACTCAAAGACATACCTGTGTGGTTTTTCCACAGCCAGTTTCTCCCTTAATAAGGGTAACTTGATTGTTCTGTATTGTTTCCAAAATCTTCGCCTTGAAGTTATGGACAGGCAAGGCAGAGCGTTCCGCCAGAAGTGTAGAGTACTCTGGGCTAGCGATGCATTGATTATGCTCCTCCAGGTACTTGACGCTGATTTGGCGTAGAGTCATGGTAGACTACAATCAGATTGACAATATTCAGTCTTGTAAGGATTTTTTTACAGAGAGCAACTGATGCGCGTTCAAGCAACTCAATCATAGCTAACCAAATTGCTAGCTTCCGTCGTATGAAAGAACAAAACAAAACACAAAATCAATTGGAAGACAACATACCAACTGGAAGATTACTTTTCTGAGCATCGAAAAGGGAACGACTTCGGAGGAGGGGCTACCGTAATGCCGCCGTTCAGAAAATTTATGCAAATACAGTACGATTGTTCTATTGGAGGCTATTCATTAAGCGATCCAACTACGCAGCTGGGCACGCATGTAATAATCCTATGCATATGCTCAGTGTTGCCAGAAGTCACCAGTGCTTTTGTTGACCTTACAACCTCTTTTGATTAGGTTACGGAGATCTGAGGTGGCAAGTTCGACTTCCCAAGTCTCCCTTAGTGAAGTACAGTAACATCATCAAGAAATAACGATAGGACCAACGCTCACCAAGTGAGGATTGACGAACTAATGAAAGCCCTTCGATGTCGAAGGGCTGGGATCCAAAAAAACACATGTACGTCGTTCTTGTAATAGGTTGGATTCTATACAAAATGTAGTGTGACTTTGAGATGGCTCCTTTCGGCTGCTACGCGACTTGCAATCATGTCCACTATGACGGCTACACGCCGCAATGATTATAGGAAAATATGTAGATTGCAGGAAGTATTTCGCTACAGCGAAACAGTTTCCGTTATAAGCTTGCTAATAGTAAAATTGGGACTGAGAAAATTTGTCTCCTTTTTTTATATGTCAGAGTCTACGTTACGCATACGTACAACCGTATAGGTATGACATATGACTTTTAAGTGTTGGTCCGCATGGTCCGTCAAACGCAGCCAGCATCAAATGACAACATTTTGAAAGTCAGAAATAGCCGACTAATCTTAGTCGCGTTGCTCACACCAGCTATCACTAAAATTATAAGCTGTGGATATCTAACGGTACAAGAAGAGCTAAATAGAAGAAACACACGACTTTAAGACACCAAACAGGAGCATTAACTTGCCTCAGGGCCCTCGTCTATGTTGCATGACGTCCAGGGGTTCCAGTTAGGTGTGGGTGGACACCAGGCAACATTTTGGGCGGACTGTCTCTCCTGGGGCTCAAAATCGGCAAGTTTGTAATGCACAATCATGTTGTGCTCCTCCGACGAACTCGGATCAGTCGTGGGAGGCTCAAAGTTGGGCTCAAGGCCCAACTTC